TCCCTCTGACAGCGGGACTGCTACTGAGGCGGTTACCGAGTCGGCTGACGGGTAGACCCCCCACCGTTGGGTGCGGCCCCCTCTTTCTCTTGGGGTGGGGTACACCCCACAACTGAGCCGCTCAGTGGGGGTTTGAGGGACCCAACCAGCATTGTAGTAGCTCACCCCAAGAAAAAGAGGGGGCCGCACTCAATGGTGGGGTGTCTACGCGTCAGCCGACTAACGGTAACGGTAACTGCCTCAGTAGCAGTTTCGCTATCAGAGCGATCAAGCGACAGGGTGAATATTATTTTCTACGTTACGAAATTGGTATTCACTGAAATTTAAAAATTTTATGGAGTCCCCTAACTTTTTTGCTCATTGCGTTGCCCTTCCCTCTCTTGGGGTGCGGTACTGCAATGCCGCTGGGGTCACTCCAACCCCCAGAACTGAGCCTCTACTTTAGTCAATCCTCTTTGTCCAACATCATCAGAGGGAGTTAAACGTGCTATAAAATGTTTATTAACAACATACGATTTTTTCGATTTATACATTTCCATAAAGAAAGATCATGAATATTCAGCCTTCAATAACAAGAATTAAGCAAATGGTTTATTCCTTCAATAAATTCACACATTTATTCCTCCCATGTACAAATCTCAATGTCTCTCCAGCAGTTCACGAATTGGAGCCTGTTCTCTTTTTAAATTAATGAAACAAGCCCCATTAGAGGCATTACTCTCTCCACTGAACACAACACAAGCAAGACCATTGATGGCCATATGATGCCAGATCTTGGTCATCCACTTGTTGACAGCCCGACAGGTCCTCTCAACATTCTCCAATTGAAGATGATCCTGAGGGATTTTAACATGACAGAAAGTCAGAGCGTGCTCCATAGCAATTTGTGAAGCCCTGTTAACCGTCTGCTTGTTGGTTTCGGCAAGGACCAGCCGAACATGATCATTCTTATCATAATTGGCATCATCCATCACGTGAAGACTAGAGGCCTTCATATACCTGGAGTACTCATTCATCACATCAGAAGTGCTGACAATTGCTGCAGTTCGTTTGTCTTTTGTCACATGTTTAAATATCGATACACCGAACTTTTGTGTCTCCTCCTTAGACTTCCGCTTTCTCAGGGTCTCCTCCAGTTCTCTCTGACCAATGAGAACAGCATCCCCAAAGTCCACAGTGTTAGCCAGCTTCAATTGCACTAGCTTCATCGATGCCAGGGAGTCTTCCGTCGAGCAGTGGCCGCTCTTGCTCTCCTGAATTCTCTCGCTCAAAAATTCTCTGGCCAACACCTGGAGTTTTGTCTTCCTGTAGCGTTCACCGGTTGTATTGAAAATGACAGAAGTGTCGATTATGTAAGGATGCATCATTCTCAATGTATGGAGATCGGCGTTGAGACTTTGGCCGACCAGAATGGCGTCTGGTGGAAGGAGCTCTCGTAGACGATTCTGCACGTCTTTTAGGGTCGTTGTCACGTTTATCAACAACTCCTCTGTTATTCCACTGTATCTGGTGAGATAATCTGTGATTTTATTTTCAGGTTTCACGAGGGACTCGTAAATCACCTTCATCTGCTCGTCGACAATCGAAATTCTGGTGAGCTCGAGGAAGCCAGTGGTTGTACGACACATCTCGCAGTCGAGGCCGAACATCGGTGAATTGGGGGTGGCCTCCAGATATTCGTCCTTGGTGAGGACGTAGTCTTTGTACCGATTTGCCAGACCCCCTCGGAGAGGCAGAGGGTAGTTCTCCTCGACGAGTTGCCAGGGGGAGAGGAGGAGTTGGGTGCGGGGGAATTTGTCGGCTGGTGGTAAGTTATTGAGATTTGGTAAACCAGTTTGCGGTGGTGAACGCATGGGAAAGACCACTTTCAGGAGTTTCACTAGATCTCCGGTAGACTGCATGGCTGCTTCGAGAGATCCAAATTGCTGGATCAAGCCGTTGCTTTGAGTACCTGTTAATGGAACTGCAGCCAATTCCTCAATGACTGAGCCACCGTAAGCAGCTGGTGTCACCAGCTCCAACCGATGCTCCAAATTATTTCCGATGTGTGTGAAAATCGACTCGTGCGAATGAAAATGATACATGGAGAGGCCCTCGACAATGAAAACAACAGTATGAGACACTTTGTTGAATTTTTCCAGGTGGCACCATCGAGCTGGGGAGAAAGGCGAATGATGACCTAACAGAGAATACATCAGGAGGTGTTGAACGTCTGCCAAAAATATTGGAATCCTCTCATCATGCTTGATTGCATTGTTCAAACTGGCGTTCTCTCCAACAGCTTTTAATCGAAATCGTGGAATGTTTTTTAGGACTTTCTTTCGCTCTCGAAGTTCTTGTTTTAATTTAGCGTACTCTTCACCAGCGAGACGAGGTTTTTTGTTGACTCCTGGGTGTGATTCTTCAGGAAGCTCCTTCGGGGGATTTTCTCCTTCTGGAGTTGAGGTGATTGCAGCTGTTGATGAATGGTTGCAGGGCCTCTTTCGACTGGGACTCAAGGCTGACATTTCACAGGATGATGGAGGATTATTTGAATTCATTTCCTATTTGCAAAAAAATTATAAAAGTGTTAATTATTCCTTTCTGAAGGTTATTCTTCTAAATTTTGGTTGTCTTAATATCTCATTTGAATGATAATCTTCATTGTGTCATATTTTTTGTAGCAGGTGAAGTGAAATTTTTAGATCGGATTAATTGAATATATCTTACTATGTTTTTAAGACCTAGGGCTCTAGCTTCTCTATCTTTATCATTTAATTTTGTTATCTCCAATAGTGCAGCCATTTTTTTTCGTTTTTTCTCGATACGTTGAAGTTGTTTCTCTGTTGGCATCTTCATAATCGTCTCCTGTATTCAATACTGATTTTCGTGGCAACATTTAGTACCTACAAAACACGAAACACAGCTTTAATGATGAAAAATCATGAACCACTTTTTGTGAGACAAAATGTCTGCTTCAAGAAAATTTTCTCAATTTTTATAATGGAATTGATGAACAAGATTGGCTTCAGGGATTTTTTTCACTTTCAATTTGCTAAATTCAGGTGGACGAGCAAAAATTACTGGAGCTGTTTACTTGAAAAATTCAGGAGATAGGAGACACATGACTTTCATACTGTCAGAGGAACAATAACCTCTGGCCGATTAGGTTGGCTAAATTTAACTGCCAGGTATTATGAATACAAAATATCAGAATCGTTGAATCGTGAATGTTAAATGGAATTGAGAAATGAAAATATTGGGGCTTCTTCGTTGCTTGGTTACCAACACTCATGGCCAACCTATAAACCAGGAAAAAGTAGGGAAAAGCAGTAAAAAAAAATAGTTTAAAAAATAGAAGATGGAAGAAAACATTTGACTGACAATCGTACAATGCGTAAAAGAAAGAAGAAAAATGCGGAAAAACCAAGTGTTGAATATTTACCATGATGAATCGAGGTGGTCGAGGTTAACAGAAAACTCAAGAGAAAAAATTACTGAATAATTAGGTTTTACAATTCCGCAGATAATTTCCAAAACACAAATTTATCGTAATCGACTTGGATCAACCGAGTGTCAATTAATTTTCAGGAATAATTAATTACGTGACAACTAGTTACAAAAGCACATGGAGTTTATGGGAGATTATAGGGGAAATTGTGGCACTTTTTACAAAGGCTTCAATAAGAAAATTTCCTGAAGGTGGCGCGTGAAATAATTCGCGTGAAAACAAATCGTGTGAATTATGAAAGACACGAGAACGAAAGCGTCGATAATTTATTTACCCAGAACCTGTCTGTTTTCCAAAACATGTATATGTAAATATTATTTCGAAATGATTAAATTCGATTTCATTAGGAATTTTTTTTTTCTCAGCTGATGTTCCTCCAGCGCATGCGCGCCGATCGCTCGAAAATCGACTACTGCGCACTGCGAGGTACTCATTCCTGTCAGATGCAAAGTTCAATGGTGCCGGGTATTACAATTCTCAATTACCCTTAGAGAGTAATTTTCACGTGCTCCGGACAGGTCGTCGATATCTCGTACTCCACGTAACAACTGCGATGGCATCGGAAAAAAATTGTGTCCCGTATTCGCAGAGCGGTGATAAAGATCAGGATGAGGTTAGTACCATGTTCAATTACAATCCAATTACAAACCTTCCAATCAATTGTCATTTTTTTATTTCGATTTAAAACGTCACTGATTATTTTTCACGGGGGAGTCCAGGGGATCGTTGACAGATTTTTCTTTTTCTGGGATTTATTCCTCAATGTTTACGTGGGGCCCGAGGTTATGCGATCTGTCAGACGATCGATAGGCGCACAATCTGCTAATTGTCACTTGTCAGGAGTTGTCACAGAAAACTAATGGCTAAAGTGTTTCCGTAATTATGGAACATCTGGGGGAGATTCATGGAATGATCGATCATGATTTCAGCGATGGGAATGGGCATTTTAATTGATGGAGCAGGCAACGAAATTTATTAGACGCAGTATTCATCATGGAAAGAGGGGGATTAGTCATTCAGTTAATGATGAATTAAACAGAGACATTTCATGTATTAATTCATTGTGGAGTAATCCACAGAATTTCGGTTGGTATTCGGGCAACGAAGTGGAATTTTCTAATCCAAAGCAAGCCGAATTTTCTAGCTCACAATATTAAAAATATACAAGTCTATGAAATAATTAATAATAATTAATTCTAGAGGTGACATTCCAAGATTCGGTATTTAATTATCGATTTCTGCTTTCGCTTTCTTGGTTTAAATGAAAAATTCTCCCACTCCATATTTATTTTTTTCGGGTATAAGTCGGATAACAGAAACATATTTCCAAGTTGGTAATCGATTTTTAATGAGTATTTAGGAATGCGGAAGAGCCAAATTTTTCAATGAACATTTGTTTGTAGTGCGCGTTCCATTCTAGAAGTTTCCACGAAAAATTTAATTATCTTTATTACATTGCGAGATATACTCCGAAAATCTGACGACATAAGTCGACTTGTTATCACTACTGCTGGCTTATTCTCGGCGATGTGTTTATTTGGATGAAACAATAATTACAGAAACTTCTTCAACCATTCACTTACATTCTCCAAGTCCCTGGTAAGCAGATACGAGCAAAATTGGCGCATGCCATGAACTATTGGTTAAAAATACCAATTGAGAAGCTCCAGGCTGTGGGTGATATAACGCAGATGCTGCACAATTCCAGTTTACTGTGAGTAAATACAAGTACAAGAGATGTTGACACTCCCTTCCCAATTTTCGCAAATCCCGGGTATCAGCTTGCACTTCCATCCCTTAATCGCAATCTGCACCCAAACATAAGCGAATATTTCTTACAGAATAGATGATATTCAGGACAACTCCATTCTGCGTCGGGGGATTCCAGTTGCTCACTCCATCTTCGGTGTTGCTAGCACAATTAATGCTGCTAATTATGTTTTATTTATAGCACTCGAGAGGGTACTGGCTCTTAATCACTCTGAGGTACATTGACTCGATGATTAAAAAATTATCTCCCCAAAAGTTGAAACCGTGAATTTTTCCTCATTTTTTTTCTCCATTTTTTTGGCTACAGGCGACTCAGGTGTATACAGAACAACTCTTAGAATTGCATAGAGGGCAAGGAATCGAAATTTACTGGCGTGACAATTATATCTGCCCGTCTGAAGCTGAGTACAGACATATGACGATGAAAAGTAATTATTAATTGGATTGCAGGGAAATTGAATGATGAAATGGTGAAACGAGATAAATGAATTAGAAACTCACCTCTCGGTCTGAGTAAAATCTCGAGATTGAGGGAAAATCAACTTCTGAAATTAATCATAGTAGTCTAAATATATTATTTTTCTGTTTTATTTTGACGAGATATTACTGGATTCTAGTGCATTCCTCTGACAAAATTGAAGATTCAAAATTTCAATATTGAAATGCCAATAATACTCGGATCATCTCAAAATGACTCATCTCGCTTCATCATCACATTGTTGAATTCTAGGTCACGTATTTTGATTGGAAAACAAATGGTTTGTGTTTTCGCAGAGACTGGAGGTTTATTCAATCTGGCCGTCAGGCTAATGCAACTATTTTCAGAGTGCAAGGAAGATTTTTCAATGCTTACTGGAATTCTCGGACTCTATTTCCAAATCAGAGATGATTATTGTAACCTCTGCATGCAGGAGGTAAGAACGAAGAGAACCTGAGGGATTCGGTATTTTTATATGTTCTTCAATGAATTTTGGATAATCATCTCAGACATTCCTAAAATAATTCAATCTCCCGTGAGATTTAATATTGCCTGCATCTTTTAATACCCTTGTATCGGATAAAATTGAATTATCTTCAATTTAATCTAATTTAGTTCCAATTCTAAATACCTTGCCTTTTTTGAAAAGTAAAAATTGGACAATTTTCGAGTTATAAAAGAATCTACATGGAGTTACAATGAAACTTCATCAGCCCCCATTCCCATTATTTTTTCTGAACTCCATTGTGATAAAAAGTGGTGGCTGATTAAAAACTGAAGTGAATATTGACTCATCTCATTCCACTAACCTCGCAAATTGATTAATCACGTTTCTCCCCAGTACTCCGAGAATAAAAGCTACTGCGAAGATTTATCCGAAGGGAAATTCAGTTTTCCGATAATCCACGCAATTCAGAGTAAACCAGAAGACAGGCAAGTGATGAGTATCCTTTTTACAAAAAAAAATGATGGATGAATGTAATTTTTTCAATCTCCAAAAATGATCCTTAATGATTAATGAAAGATATTTTGCGCCAAAGAACGAAGGACGTGGAGGTGAAGAAATACTGCGTGACGCTGCTTGAAAAATTCGGCTCATTTGCATACACTAGAACAGTTCTCGAGGAATTGGACAGAAAAGCTCGCGACGAGGTGGAGAGATTGGGTGGAAATCCCTTGTTAGTTAAAGTGCTCGATGATTTACTTAATTGGCGGCAGGACCAAGAGGTTGAAATGCAACAGGTGGTCTCGTAAAATATTTTATGATCATTAAGAATGTGGGGGGAGTAAGTAATTAAATAATCTAGTACTTATAAAATTGCCCTCGGGGAGACGAGATGCCAGTTAGGGACACTTTGTGTGTCGTGCCAATGAAAAATTATCAATTGTTCTGTGACAATAATTGTAGGGGTCCAGAAAATATTTACCAATTACGCTTCAATTTGGGCTTGATGTAGTTGAAACTCATATATCGATAATGAATGACGAATTATTTAGCGAATTGATGGAATGATGAGGTCATTTGTTTTTAATTATTCTGTTCTCATTATTCCACACTCCATTGACAACTCGCTGCCATAAAAATAATATCTTCGATTTTAACCGATAAATAATCTACATCATCGACATAGGAAATTCCATATCAAAGTCATAGATCTCACGAGTTTTATTTTTGTTAAACGTTTTTTCTCCTTCAGTACATATACAACAAACATAATTTAATATATGACGATAGCGAATAAATCTTTGATAGCAGTTTTACATTATAATCATTAACGTTTAATGTGAAACATAGTCACTTGTTTTACGTATAAAATTGTTATAATAAAGATTCTCAGCTCGACATGCACAACAACTCTAATCATTCTCTTATCCCATTAAGTCTCATTCATACATATAGTACAGATAAAATAGCTCCTACAGACGTCACGTATTTTTAATACTATTTCACCAGAATTCACGTCAACTTCTGTCCCAAAATCCTTCTCCTGCTGTCTCAATTTTTTTTTTATTCCCAATGTTCTTTGCTAGACGAGAAAAGGCTCTGATCCCACAGAATTGTCTTTTCTCAATCCAAACAATGAGAATTGATGTCAAATACGTCTGAGTCAATGTTTCTCAAGGCAGAGACTCTGCACTTGAAGTTGTAAGGCTCCTTCATTATTGTCATCCCTTCCCAGGGATGTCGAGGGTGGCCAGGATTCGATAAATGCCGATGTCCCGATGACATCGTTCCTCTGCAACTAGGATAAAGTTGCTATCTGACATGTGCGCTGCTCAGGCTCACTGTCCTCGTCGGTTTCACTAGCCCACGAGGGCTGACGCTCTTGTCACATCTCTCCGTCACTCGTTGGACCGGAAACACCGTCGTCGAGGACTTCAGTTACCTGATTCCAATAGGAGCACAAACATGTCCAACTAATTTACAACGAACATTTTTTTTTATTTGAAAAATGCCTCTCAAAATTTCATTAAAGCTCCCTTCCCTGAGCGAATTCAATATTGAATTATTGAAATAAGAAAAGTACATTGAACTTTCTATCTATTTCTCTCTCGAAGAATATTCCGAAATTGAGGGGAGAAGATATAATAAAGACTCGAATCGATTCACTTATGACTTCACCCCAATTTCAAAGAGTTGGAAAAGCTATCGACGAATTAGTCAACAATTCTAATTTTAAAAAATCAATTTTTATTACCAAGACTTCTTCAAATCGATCGTAAGCCTCAGGTCTGGTATTCAAAAGGCTCTCGCCCATAGAATCACCGAGAGTTACTGAACTTCCCCGTTGGCTCAATGCACTGGAGATGACATAGAGCAAAGATAAAGCAGCCAACAGTCCAGCTGTAAAATAAAGGTAAAATAAATAACTGCCACCATTTAATTAATTTGCGAGCCATTTACTCAGTATCTTCTACTTTATTTTCTCCCCCAGCGCTATTCCCTCTTTTTTCCCCGTTTTCATTGGAGTCTGCATGGAGATTAAGAACTGCCAGAGGTACCATTCCTTTTTACTCTTATTTACATTCCATTTATTCGTCTTGTTTACTACGTTCTTTTTTTGGTTTTTTTTTTTTTGCTCTGCTCACCAGCGACAAAGGAGAGCCACAAGTTGTGCGGTTTCCAGGCCAAAATACAGGACAGTGGTAGGTAAAACAAAGCTCTTCTCCAGCCTCTGGTTACCATTAGCACTGACAACCAACAGCGTGAACAATGAGACTCGTCATTTCTGGAACAGAGACATGTACTTTCGCCTCCATCTTCTCGTTATTTCACGTACGAAACACCCGTGATTAAATACGAAATTTACCCTGAAGACGTTTTCTCTTATTTAACTCTGTACTCTCACGAGAGTTTATTCGCTCCAGAAAAAATGGCACCGATTTTTTTGAAAATTGAACGAAAATAAAAACAAGTGTTTTATGAAATAGTCTTTGTGGCTCAGTAATTGATTAATTGAAGTAATTTTTTATAGTATAGTATTCAGTGGAAGAGTGAAATCAAATTGAAAAGAGCGACAGCTGTAATAACTGTTGAAATTCTGGTGAAAATTCAACAGGAAATAGAAGTAATTTGTGAAAGAGTTCTTGTCAGGACTCAAAGTAATAAATAATTTCCATCTGGAGATGAAAATTGAAGGAACCGAATGAAAAAATCTTAGAATTTCAATCTAGGTACTTCTTTTCCATAATACTGTTACCACAATCTCCTGTACGAAGGCGGTCGAAAAAAAAAGTGCAACCAAGAAAAAGCTGGAGAAAAAAGTAAAACGGAGATTGGAATAAGAGAGGTCGGTACCTTCATTTCGTGGCCACGGTTCTCTACTTTGCTTGTAGTTTAATACTTCGGCTTCGTGGTTTAATACTATTAAATTAATTCCACAAACGAGTTCGGATAAATGGTTGGAGAGGATTTTTTTTCATCAGCGTATGAATCGGTTGCGGGAAATTAATTCACAATTTTTTTTTTATGAAACTCACGATTTTTTCGTGGTTTCGACATTTTAATTATCGATGTTACTCAAATATTACTAAACCCTGGGGATAAAATATGGCTTTATTGCTCCAGTCAATTTTATTCTCATTTAATAGAAAATGTTTACTGTCTGTGTAATAAATCATCGCGTGCGCCCTCGCAATGAATTGGAATTGAATTGGCGATTTTCTTTCACGAAATCGAGCCGATATTTTTCGGTATTATCTAAAAACCGAAAATCGTTTGAAATTCGGGTGAATGAAAAATAAATAATAGATAATGTGTGGACGTTGTTGACGGGAATAAATTGTTTCTAGATGTTAATAAAAAATGGAAACAAATGGGGAAGTCAAATCCCGGATTCGAGGATTTACAAACTCTTCTCATGATCCTCTTCCTGGGAAGAGCCGAGTAGCATCGACTGCACTTCTCGGTGAGGGTGCGATATCCTAATGCATGTCACGTACCTGAGACAAATCTGCACGAACAGTGTGATGGCCCAGGTAATCTCAAGGAAGAAAATCAGCGCTGAAGCCACTCTGGAATGTACGAAATACGATACGTATGAGACGAATCAAGTACGGAACAATGAGATCTGTGAGTTATGGCTTTGGTTTTAGAGGATTTTTATTTCAAGCGAAAACTCGAGGACCGATTGACTTTCGAGATGTGATCACGAAAGGATTGTTGAAAAATTTTCTCAGATTACCAATTGCCCTAGATTTAGAAACAATAATATAATTTATTGAAATAACGTCAGGGGATTTTACTAATGGATATATTAATGAATTTTCTCTTTGCAATAATCTCTAGAAATGACGATGAATGATATATTTCGTTTCTAAGTTTCTGGTGAAAAATAATGATGTTTTTTGGTGATAGTGCGTGATTCGATTTACAAGTGCATGTTGAATTATCCTCACGTAACGTAATAACCCATGACGTGTCGATGATAAGCGATATCAGCTCCCACTCCGCACACAACTGCAACAGAGTGAAAAGTACGAAAAACTTAGAGTTGAAAAAGTTGAAAAAATCCTTAAATCACGCTGACAAAGGATCTTAAATAAATTGGATTAACTCCAACTGGGGGATGTCTTTTTCCGACTGTTGCCAAGAATTTACATCCCCTAACCGGCATCTTCCGCGGTTGACTACAAGCCCGCACCCCAAATTATTCAAAAAATTCCTCCCCTTTCACCCATTTATTAAAGTACTCCAACTCTAAATAACGTATCACTAATATAAATATAAAAGAGAGAATATAAAAAATATATTCTCCAAAAATTCATGTACTTGAGAGAAGAATCTATTTTCTCGTTCGATTACTCGATTGGATAAATAACTCTTTGAGAAAATACATACTTGTCTCAAGTAAATGGATCAGTGGGGAAAATCGTTTTTTCTCTCAAATGTGTGTGAAACACACGAGAAAATATTAAAGTCGCTGGACAAAGGGTAGTCATGACTTGGAATAATATCATTTAAGTCTGTAGATTGTAAACTGCTCAACTCTAATTTCTTGACACGCGAGGGAATATTTTGAAGGTGAATTGTTAGCGCAGAATTACATTATCACAATTTACGTGTGTGCCTTTGAAAAGCGGGAGGTGAGTGGGCAAATAAATCACCAGTGATAAGAGATCTTTGCTAATTGTGTTGGTTTCTTTTGAAACAGAAAAATTTCGAGATAATCCGTATAATATTTTATTACAAATAAATTCCTTGGGATTAATTGCAGAGTGGAATCTCCTTAGAAAAATTATTCCCAGGTCCGAGTTTTCCATCAGCATTGACTTAATGAAGGCAGACTGCAATTAATTCAGTTGGATGCTCACGAGAGTTAAGTGATGCTTGATTCGTTCAGCGCCAGAACACGAGCAATTAAAACTGTGCATCTTTGGAAAATAATTTTCGTACTTTCGGAGGTGAAAAACAGTCAAGTGCCCAGCGACTGTGGGAAAATAATCGAGAGAGCCCTCGAGCCAAACTCTCGCCAGTCGATTTTCCTCGGTCATCTAATTCACAAGTTTTTTTTTTTCTGTTAAACCCCGAGTCTAATTAAATCAATGCTAATTCAATTATTGGAGAGTAATTTTCGTCTACGTGCGCAATGCTTTTTCAAAATTGAAAGAATGGAGTAATTCTTTGATTAATTTTTCTTGGGATTCCTCTATGATTGTTTCTGGTATTTTTCTACTGTCATTTCTAGGACATTCTGGGTTATTATTTGGGACCTGGGGCATTATTGAATTTAAAGCCACCCACGTTCTCTCCTGATTGGTGGAAATGAAGGACACATGGCGCTGGAGACCTGGGTAAAGTGGAAAAAGCGTGAAAATTCCCCGAGAATGGGAGAATAGCCGTTGTCACCGGAGGGTAAAATTCAATTTCATTCATATCAGACCAGTGGCCAGAACTTTTAGTCTTTCCAACGTTTACCGTTGAAGTAATCATGAGTGGAAATAGAGTGTGATTGCATTTTTCATTCCTGGAATTCTCCAGAAAAATATTCAACCAATACTATAAATTAAATACAACATTTCTCTGACGTAAAAATTTCATTTTCAAATTATTTTTATCTTGAAAATTTTTAGTTTTACCAGATTCTTTAGTACAACATGGTAATTATAATAGTATTCATTATAATTATTATTGATTATGGTATTATGGATAGTGAGGGACTGTTCACTGATGGAATCACTAAAATCGGAAGGAATTCTTTGCAGACGAACAATTCATGCTGGACTTCCCTTCATTTCAGGGCAATGGCGTAATTAATGCTCGAGGTTTTACGCATTGTTCCGATAATTAAACTGCATGTCAACGTGTCAGTTCCACATCCGTGATTCCGTTTTATTTCGATTATTCCACTCATGAAGGACAATTGAATTCGCGGCAAAATCTCATTGTTTCAATGATTGCAGTGGTAAAAGGAAATTAATGTGAACATGATGGAGTTCAAGGGACTGAAGCGGTATTTTTCGGATTAATCACTGCGGAATACATTTATCTGTATGTATTTTTCAGTTCTCCGGTAATTCCGAAATTACTAGAACTGGTAGTGGAATTCACTGGGTTCTCACACTGTCTAGTTTGGTACATTAAAAATTCAATTGGAGAATGTCATTAGGACCATTAATTATTTCTCCAATGAACTCTTGTGATGTATTATTCAAATTTCTCTTATCTACATTTTATCTTATAAATTCTTAATTGGCATTTTTTTCATCTAAATCTACGTAAGATCATTCCGATAATTATTTCCAAAAAAAATTTTAAAATCAATAACAATATTTATTAATTAGACATTGCAAGGTTCAGGATAATTTTTTATGTATTAATTGACTTGTCTTGAGACAGTGAAATTATCTTCGGATTTCAAATCGTTTTTGGAGCTGAATTCGAATTTCTGGAAGGCCTCAAAAATTTCCCTCATTTTTATTTATTTAAAAACAGACACTGCATGAATGAGAGACATGTGATTGGCTTGAATCAATGTGCAAATAGCTCCATCCGTGTGTGATGCCGGTGAAAAACATTTGACACGTGGCCCAACACCTGAAGTTTTAACACTCGACGTTGATTTCCCACCGGCTCCTGTCAACCAAATCCAATCTCCTCTGTATACATAAAACCGTGATGCATCTGTGAGGCTCACTCCATCAGTGTTTGAGAGTATTGGAGAAATATCAAAGACGCCAGAGAAATTGAGTTTTCCAAAACCCAGTGAGTTTCCAGTTGTGGTCTTGGGTGTCTATTGGATTTCCGTGACTTCCAAAGGGTGACAGAAGACTGGAGTTGGACGAAATGGAAGAGAAAAAGAATAATGGAATGGGGTACAATGCTCCTGTCGATGTTCCAGATTGAATTCAGGTAACTGGGACCAGGAAAACAAGTTGAAGATGGAAAGTTTAGGTGAGTTGATAATATTCAGCGTCAAGTCGATCATAAAACCTGAGGATCACTTATTTCGAGAATTTCAGGCTGTCGTTTATATAATGAATTATCATTTGTCCTCAATTCCAGAATTATTTGTTATCATAACTGTGATTTTGTCAATAAGATAATTGAATTGTTGTTGCATTTTCGGTAAGTCACTTCAAATGCTTGACTTTTTTATTAACTTTGACTTATCCATGCTTGAGGAAACCTTAAGTCTCCTCTGAGAGTTGCTAGCACTGAGACTTGGCTAATCCACTGAAGTCCAATGGATTTTTCCAGAACACCACTCTTGGCGTTTTTCACTTTTCAATGAACGAGTCCATTTATGTCCATCCGAGACCTCTCGATAAGGATATCCGTGAGGATCTCTTGGACATTCAATACTCCAGTATTGTGAGGAATTCAGTACACAGAGATCCAACGGGATGATACAGCTTCGAGGGCTTCCCTCGTCTTTTCTTTAATCCCATCTTTTCAATAAATGAATAAAATATATTCAGTAAAAATTGAATATAAATTACAGGCCGCTCGCATTCCACGCAATTTTTATTGAATATTTTATTTTTATTTTATTATTATATGATAGCAAATATATTTTAGAATTATGGAAAAAAATTTATGGAAATTAATTGATACGGAATATTTTAATATTGTTTATTGTCTTAACGATTCGAATTTATTTTTCAAACGTTTGGACATAATGACCTTTCAAAAATTACTGCGGGCTATTCTTTCAGTTTTCGTTTTTATCACATTCAAGTGCATTTGGAGTACCGAACTCAGCATCTTGCATCTTTCCATTTCTCATCCTCCACTTGTTTTTATGAGTGACATATAAAATTCCGTAATGCATGTTTTGGATAGTAATAAAGTGGGAAATAGAGGGTATAAAATTCTTAGCAGCTCGCAATGCAATAAAATTGCAAATCCAACATAGTCAGAGGGAATGTGGGTCACTTTTCATCCACCACAAAGGGTAGGAATGGTTTGACCATATGAAGATCCGCCCTCTGGAATTGCCTGGATTTTTAAATTTGGTTGAGCTTCAGAAATAATTCAAACATAAAAAAAAAAATGAAGGAGCGATGGGAAAATATGAAATGTTAATCTAATTAAAAGCGATTCAAAAATTATAATTTTCAATATTATTTATTTCAGGAAATAAAACTTATTATAAAATATTTTACATATTGTTTATATTCCGAATTTATTGTATATTGAATATCGTAATTTGTTATTTTTACTCGCATTGGTTTTAAAAAAATCTAGAATTACCACGACTTTTCATAATCACTTTTGAGATAATTTTCAAAATAAATTTCGGTCCGTGTGAACTCTTCAAAATTGCATGATAAATTCGGAAGAAAATATGACTGGAGCTGGAGGTTGTCTGGAGGTTGGTTTAATATTGGACCAGGAGCGATATTGACTCCATGGGGATGGCTCCAACGAGCTGGAAAATATCTCGAGGGAGTACATGTTGCTCTCATGCGAGCAACTTGCTATTGATGTTAACTTTATTGATGCCATTCTTATGCCTTGAAATGGCAGAAAATATTCTGGTGATTCAACTCTTTCTTCGACCCCCCGCCTTAAACATTTCCATAATTTCCCTTTATTTTTCGGACTGAATTTTGAAAAAAAAACATTAGAGAACGTAAATATTATAAAAAATAATTTTCATTACGAACTTCATTAGGTATTGCAGTAAAAAATCGATATTAAAATTGATTCTTCCACGAATTTCCGGTCCCATCGACTCAACTCTACAAAAGTAATTGAAATAGTCGATGGCATCACGGAAGTAATAACCCGAACCCCTTCATCAAATTACCGACAAAAGACGAAAAGAATAACTCCGTCATAAGTCGTAACTCTTATTGGATCAATCTAAGCCCATTGTCCAAAAAAAACATAAACTCCAATCTAATCCGTCATGTTTCCCAATTTGCAGACACCGGAGACACGACGATAAATATAATGGTCTCCCAGTATTTTCTTTTTCGGCAAAATAAATAACAATTAAAATGAGCGGATGG